GGGGGGCGACACCAACACGGGAGCGTGCACATGGGGCACGAGGCCGAGGCCGACGCCGAGACCGAAGGAGCCGTGGAAGCTTAGCCCGCGGCCGTTCCTGTCGGCTCCGGTTAGCTTCTTGGCAGCTTTGGCGGCGCTGGTGCTGGCCAGGCAGCAGACCAGCAACAGGTATATGACTGTGGGCGCCTTCATTGTCGGGGGCAGCTGCGCGGGTCCGGTTATTCTGCCGCCCGTTGGCCGTGTAGTGGTCATCACACCCAGGCAGGAGGTTTTATAGTCCTGCATCTGGGGCATGGGGATTAGCTGTGACTTTCGCAGCCGTGGATATACTGGTTTTCAGAACTAGCACGTCAGGGTCTCCAGCGTGTGCTGTCTCGGGATGAGCTGGCTCATGAGAATTTCAAATTAAACAATGGCACACGGCGCTCGAGTCCGCTCTCTCGATGGGTTTTCCAGAAACACTGGGCTAAGTACATTAGTTTAGAAATAATAAGCAAAACACAGACACAATGCCCAAAGTGTTCACTCCACACGTAGTTAAGTTCACACGGCATTTAAATTCCGTCCTTCTCGACGTTTCAGCCTTTGCCTCTTGTCCCTGTCGCGGCCGTAAGCTGTGACGTCACTCCCGCTCACTTCTCCTCTTCCTCTCGCTGTTTAGCCCATTGTCTCGTTGTGGTTGACGTGGACGCGTGACGTGGACCTCCCCCCCCCCCAAAGGTTACCATGACCTTCCGGAAAGTATCCTTGGGCTTGGGGCATGTGAATAAGATGCACCTAATATCCTTGCCCTTCACCAACCACTTGCCAATTGGAATGTGTTCTTTGGAGAGGACGACGGCCAGGGACGTGGGTCAGATCAACTTCCCATGGTTCTGCAGGTATATGAGGAATTTCCTCCCCATGAGCCCTCCACCCCCTCACGTCCTTTCGGATTTAGTTCACCGCTATTAGGACCTCGGACGACTGGCCGAAGCTCTGCCTGTGGACGGGGAGGCCGCCGCAGAGCTCACATTTGTGACCTTTGAGAACAGGGCGAGCCAGGTAACCGACCAGAAATTCGATGACCTGGTCGGTCCCAGGGCATTCCGGTGTTTCATTCAACTCCGAGTCGTAGCCCGGAGCCGTAGGCCAACTCCGAGTCGTAGCCCGGAACCGTTTGCCAACTCCGAGCCGAAGCCCGGAGCCGTCTGCAAACTCTGAGTCCTAGCATCGGAACCATCTGCCAACTCTGAGTCGTAGCCCGGAGCTGTCTGCCAGCTCTGAGTCGTAGCCCGGAACCGTCTGCCAACTCTGAATCGTGGCCCGGAGCCGTCTGCCAACTCTGAGTCGTAGCATCGGAACCGTCTGCCAACTCTGAGTCGTAGCATCGGAACCGTCTGCCAACTCTGAGCCGAGTCCGGAACCGTCTTCCAGATGGTTCCGATATGTAAGACTGTGGATGGGTGTCGGCCAACCAGGATATCGGATGTTGGCTTCCTCGAAAGCTGTCCCCGACGCGCTCGTGTTAACGTTAAAGTTTCCACTGGCGCGGAATCTCAGGAACAGGTCAAGCAAATAAACTGTTTTGTTTTTTTAGCCGTTTGCAGTAGGGCATGGAGTCGTCCTTCAGACGATGATCAAGGTCATGAATGAGAGTCTTTAAAAGCATGTATGGTGAAAAGGCGAGACCAGGTGGAGTGTTTCGAAGTAGAAAGCCTTGATCCTTCTACAAAACTGCAAATAGTTTTCGTTTTCCTTTCGCGCACTGATCCTGTCAAGGGCAGGCTTTGCTATCAGCTTGACAACCGATCGAGTCAGTCCAGAATCTGATAAATACGGCGTGAAAACGTGCATTTACCAGCGATTTACACTTACAAGCTGGGATTTCCAACATAACATGGTTTAAGAGCCTATCATACCTTCACGGCCGCTCAAATTCCTCGGCGTGGTCGCAGACTCGATGCCTTTGTGAAAGAAGCATGTCGTCAGATTCATGCAAAAAATCCAATGAATTCTAATCTCGCTGTGCTGGCTCAGGCATTACGTTACACCTAACGTTCTCAAAATGATTACTGAAGCTTCCATTTTCCCACATATGTCAAACTATGTATGCGTGTGGAGTGGCGCGATCAAGTGACAGGTGCAGAGGGTTCAAAAGGTTGAAAATGTTGCCGCTGGCATTGTCTATGGTATCAAACAATCAGCGCCGGCTGCATGAGCCACTCGTAAGCAAAAGACAGCTAATGATAGGTCCGGCTCGGCGCTGAGTAGCCGTCTCATGAGCCGTTTCTCTGGGCTAAAGCGCTGTTGCGCATCAGCCCTATGCTAGTGACCGCTAAAACACGCGTGGGTACACGGTACCGCTGCAACACTTGGCGGCGAGGGTCGGGGGCTTGGTTTCCGTTCTTCCGTGGCCGACCCTCTGCTGCCGCAGCGGTGCGGCGGCCGCTTGTGACAACCCAGTCCCCCCGCGTAGACTCCGCGTCTCCGCCGGGCCACCTTGCGCTGAAGTGATGCGATATTCACCTGGTCTATCGGGCTATCAGTAATCTGATCAGGCGTCGATCTGAAGTATCTCAGCGACACACCAGAGCCACCGATGACGAGCGTACTGCAAACGAGCGCTGTAAAACACCCCTGCTTAGAGAGCGTGAAAAGGACATTTCCCTATCGAGCCGTAGCGGCGTGGAATCGCCTCCCTGCTGCCACGCGCCAGTGCAAAGAACTTAAATGAGTTCAAGGGCAAAGCAATGCCTTTCATCAGAGAACTTACCTAAATTGACCAACTGGCCAGGACGTGCATGTGCTGATTGTACCACAAGTCGTTCATGTTTCATGACATCGTATGTGTATCGCTGGCGTCGCACCGCATTTGCATGTGTTGCGTGTTCTCTGTTGATCTATATAGTGCGTTCTGACGCGGCGTTATAACAGCCACTCGCTGAGTTTCACCAAGGCCCGCAATAATGGTCGGTATTCGCCAGGTCACAGCTCGGTGATGTGCACCAGAGCATCGGGACTGTGCCGGGTCGTCCCCCGCTCCGCAGACAGCGCGCTCCGCATCCACCCGTCCCCGTTACCCCCGCGCCGATGCGGCGTTAGACGGCGCCGTCTACGACTCGAAAACCAGTCGGCGAAGCGCCTCGAAAAATAGCGGCGGGTCAAGGCTTCGCTGACGGGTGCGGAGGCGCGCCCACCGGTCTGCTCGCCGCCCAGGTAGCAGCCGCGAGGACGGAGTAGTCTGAGCGGCGGCGCGGCGTCAGCGGACTGGCGCTGGTGCAGAAGCGCCGCCAGCGTATGTCAGAGGCAGCCCCTCCTGCTGGTGGGAAGCTGGTGAGATGCTCCAAATGGGGGAGATTAGATGACGACAGGCCTTGTTCTTTTGATTATTTTACGACGCACACACGAAAGTAGTTATCTGTGGTGCAGACGGAAAATGACTAGCCGAAAAACAATATACATGCCGGGAGGATACTGTCAACGGCAGTGTTTGATCCGGGATAGGTATTCTCAGTGCAATTCCGCCCACAACGGGGGGGGGGGGGGGGGCTGGCCGATGTCTATGTTTCTGTGCGGGAAACATGTTGGACATTTACTGCAATGTCTCATTGCGATCAATTGAAGACATGGGCAGCTGCCGCGGTTATGAACGGTCCAGCTGCCGCAGTGAGTTCATGAAAGAACCGAAAAACAGCCGGCGCCAGGCTTCGAAGCCGCGTCCACGTGATCATAGGCGAGCATCCCACGGGTGCTAGCCTGGTCATAGTCTAGGTGAGGCTGTTGCAAACGATCCGTTCGCACATCGTGGTATATTTCGGTCCTGTTCCAGGGCGGGACACAGTCCCAAGCGTCCTATAGTCCGCGGTCGGTCGTGATCGATCGAAAAACATTCGAGTGGTTCGTAGGACAACAAAGAGGCATCACTTTAGGTTTTGTCCGTCAAGTACAACTGAAAGCGATAGAAAAGCAGCGAAATATGTCGAAAGAATACCTGTACTAGCTCACGATTAAAAGCCGCGGAACCAATTCAAAGACCACTTGCAATACAACACGGATTCTGCAAGTGTCCGTATCACACACATTCCAGGAAACGTCTTCCAGCTATTAAAAATATTGTCACTACTGTGGTACATAAAAAACGTATTCGTTCGCATACGGAACACCACACGGCGCCGTGTGCGCTTTGCGCTCAAAACAGTGAGTTACATAACAGAAGCATTAAATGCATACGAGTACATGACAGACCATCTTAGACTCTACATTGCACGTGAAATAAATGAATCGTGTGGCACAAAACAGCTACTAACGGTCATTTGGTAACCTCGCCGGGCAACATACGGCGTCAGATCCAACCACCGCCCCCCACGACGATAACAGCCTGGTAAATAAAACCTTCAGATCCGAGCACACGCTTACACGGAGAGAACTCAAAACCATGCCGAAGACTAGTAAACTTTGGTGCTAACAGCGTGGACACCCTTGCGAGGAAAAGGCGACCAGGCAGTACCACAATGTGTGCCCATGATACATCCTCGGTACAGGCCCCGCGCACGGGTCCGTGCGAGTCAAAACCGCGTCTCGCTTTCACTCTGCAGGGATTTAGTTGAAACTCGCCAAGGCCATTCGATTTTCGCCAGCGTTTGCCAAGCCAAAACAAGCCAATTTCCCAAGACATCCTCCGTGAAAACCCTACAGCACGCCCACGTCAATGAATCGGGCAGGCAGAAGACGTCCAGACTCAGGCTTTAAAGCTTGCAAGATCCGACACAGCGCCAGCAGCTGCATAACCATAACGAACCGCTCCTCTCAGTACGTCCGTTGCCGGCCGGACAGCGCCGCGGGGTCTGATCCGGGGTCAGGCGCCGGCGACCGGTCGGCCCTGGCGCCGCCGCCGGCCGTGGCCGTCCCCCTGCGGCGGGCGGCGGTGACCGGTCGGCCCTGGCACCGCCGCCGGCCGTGGCCGTCTCGCTGCAGCGGGCGGCGGTGACCGGTCGGCCCTGGCACTGCCGCCGGCCGTGGCCGTCTCGCTGCGGCGGGCGGCGGCGACCGGTCGGCCCTGGCACCGCCGCCGGCCGTGGTCGTCCCCCTGCGGCGGTGGCCTACTCCAGCACGTCGAACCTGTCGGCGAGGCGGTAGCGTCACCAGGCGCCGGCCGTCGCACCGGGCCGCGCCCAGCGCCAGCAGCATGGCCGCACACCACTCATCCAGCACGGCCATCCTTGAGGTGCTCCGCTCCCGTCCCCTGCATCCGGGCCTCGGGCCTCCCTGGGCCTTGCGGTGGCAAGGCCCAGGGAGGCCCGAGGTTCTGACCTCTCACCTCGGCCTGGTCCGCGCCCTGAGTCACTGACACAAATCCCACCCTCACCTCCCCTGACTCGTGTAACCGGATCCTCAGCCCTCCCTGGCCCGTGTGACCGGAACCTCAGCCCTCCCCAGCCCGCCCCATCACTGACCTAACCCGGCCGATCTTCTCATCCTCCAGCAGCACCTCGGAGGACGTATCTGCCGGCGACAGGAGGATCGTCAGACCGCACGTCAGGACGGCAAAAGGATCGTCAGACAGCACGTCAGGAGGACAGGAGGACCATCAGACCGCACGTCAGGACGGCAAAAGGATCGTCAGACAGCACGTCAGGAGGACAGGAGGACCGGTAGAACGCGCGTCAGGAGGACAGGAGGTCCCGTCAGATCCAACGCCACTGGTCCAGCACCCGCCCGGCATCGCTGCACGGCAAGGCCGACGGCGCCGGTCACATCAGGCATCACGCTGCGACCACAGGCGCCAGGACAGCAGCGGCCGACGCAACCCCCTTCGGTTTTCCGGAGGGGGTTGCTCCTGAAACGCTCAACGCGATGCAACACAAGTTTGACTGGTTGTGTCAACAGCCAAGGGATGTAGACATCTGAACTCCAGATCTTCAGCTCAAGTCTATTGTTTCACGCACCTATGACCTAGTTTTGACACCCTTTACGGTAAAAATGAGAAAAAGGCGCTCCGCAACGCCTTCTCAGTTTTTTTTGCACTATATATTCTCCAGATTTCAATAGTGTGAAGATTTTGACAACTCGCAAACAAGTCATCAACGCGCATGACCTGTTCCACGGCCATTCTCGGTGCAGGGAAGATCAGGAAAATCTTCAAATTTACCGGGAATTTGGCGTCGGATATGGTAACATGACATGCCACTATATATCGCACGACAGAGTGGGTCAAGTGGATTATAAATACCATACAAGGTCAAAGTTACATCGGGTCGTCCTAAAAGCCGCTCACTGAACGTTAGCAGTCATTTCACATCCACCCAACATTATCCGCGTGCACGAATGTCGCTCGTACAATATCATCCCAGGTCAAGACCATGCAACGCCACGGATGACACCATGTCATTCCATAGGACGACGTAGCAGTACATGGTGGCGTGCTTTAGCTCGTGCCGGCTTTACGCTGCGCACGTGCTTTGAGCGCAAAGCTGCGTGGAAACAGAAAAAAACCCGCCGACAGGTCTCGTTCGATCCAAGGTGATAGGTCAACCGCACGAGACACCTCGCTTTACAAGAGTTGTGGCTCACCCCCGGGGCTCGGGGATTTTGCTTCAGCGAATCGGGTGGGGAATAGGCAGGGGGCCACCCTCGCTGGGGATGGGGGCCGGGCCTGGGAAGTTGGGGCAACGGTCGCGATGTACCGGGACAGCTGCCGTCCGCGCACACACAGCCAGCAGCTAATCAGCGGTCTTCAAGACACCTCTCCCCTGCACAACCCGCCAGCGACAGGGACGGCAGCCGACGAAAGCCCAGATGTGGCGTCAGCCTGAGCAGCGACAGAGATGGCGGCCGGCCGAAGGCAGGGTGTGGCGCCAGCCTGAGCAGCGACAGAGACGGCGGCCGGCCGAAGCCAGGGTGTGGCGTCAGCCTGAGCAGCGACAGAGACGGCGGCCGGCCGGAGCCCAGATGTGGCGTCAGCCTGAGCAACGACAGAGATGGCGGCCGGCCGAAGCCAGGGTGTGGCGTCAGCCTGAGCAACGACAGAGATGGCGGCCGGCCGAAGCCAGGGTGTGGCGTCAGCCTGAGCAACGACAGAGACGGCGGCCGGCCGAAGCCAGGGTGTGGCGTCAGCCTGAGCAGCGACAGAGACGGCGGCCGGCCGAAGCCAGGGTGTGGCGTCAGCCTGAGCAGCGACAGAGACGGCGGCCGGCCGAAGCCAGGGTGTGGCGTCAGCCTGAGCAGCGACAGAGACAGCGGCCGGCCGGAGCCCAGATGTGGCGTCAGCCTGAGCAGAGCATCCCTCAGCCGCCGGCCGCCACCAGACCGGGCGGCGGCCAGACACCAACACCACCACAGGCCACGGAGCGGGACAGTGGCCGGGCCGTTCGTCCAGCAAGCGACGGCAGGCTGCGAGGCTCTGGCGCGGCCGGTCGGGACGGCTTCCGAGTACGGCCCAGGCGCGCCACATCGAACGCCGCGCACGCCAGGCGAGACGGGCGTTTGTACCTTACGGGACCGACCGAGTGAGCGCAGCTGAACGGCAGACGTCGCCCGGTCAGCACAGTCCGTGCACCGTATCTACAAACACGGCTGTCCGGCCGGCGCACGCTCACGCGCCAACATCCGTCCACAGTCCAGCACGGCACGGCACCAAGCCGCACCCACAGTCCAGAGTGATCCCTCCGACGTCTCACACATCGCAACGACCACACCAAACACGAAAAACGAGTGGTGTCACGCCCTGCACGGCAGCTATCGGCCTACCCCTGGCCCGCGGGCCGGGGGGCCGCGTCCTCCGCCGCCGCGCTCACCGGACTGGTACAGCACGTCCCGCTCGTGCAGGAAGGGCACGATGTCGGAGTCGTAGGTGGTCACGTCGTCGGCCGGCTGCGTCTCCACCATGTCCAGCCATTGCGAGTTGTGCCAGCGGAACTTCTCCAGCCGGATGCGCGTCGCCCACTCGCTGTCCGACTCCTGAGGGATGGAGTGGGGGGGGGGGGGGGGGGCGGATAGGGGGAGGGGCGTCAGAAACGGCCGGGGTGGCGGCACGGTTCTCGCGCCCGACCTAGACGACCTAGACGACCTACACTCAACCACGCAGACCGCCGGCCGTGGCCGGCGGCGCCGCCGCCTCACACATGGACGGTCCGACTGACACATGACCTTGTGGGCCTTGACACGGTGCGAGAGTTGCATCCCAGGTGGCTAGAGCTGGTGCATGACTGCAGCCACAGAACAAAAACGGCCAGGCACGCTCACAAAAGGGCTGACATTCCGACAGTCCGGCAATAAAGGGGCAGGCGGCGACATGACGGCCGGAACATACGGCAGCCCCACACACAGCACGCTGGCCGCAGACGGACCAGCTTCCGGCGCCTCATATGGCGCCAGCTCCGGTCACCCCGGTCACTCCGCCCCTCCCACCCGACACCAGGGACGGCGCCCACTGACCGCGATCATGTCCAGCGTTGCGTCACACACGCGTCGGATCTGGGCGTTCTTGTCGTGCAGCAGATCGACCAGGTAGGCTGGGGCGTCTGAAACAGGCGCCGGGCTCAGCGGGGGCCATCCTCAGATGCCCGGGGCACGTGTGGTGCACGGGCTGATGTCGAAGGGCTCAGCGGGGGCCATCCTCAGATGCCCGGGGTACGTGTGGCGCACGGGCTGATGTCGAAGGGCTCAGCGGGACCATCCTTAGACGCCGGGGCACGTGTGGTGCACGGGCTGATGTCGAAGGGCTCTGCGGAAACCATCCTTAGACGCCGGGGCACGTGTGGTGCACGGGCTGATGTCGAAGGGCTCAGCGGGGGCCATCCTCAGATGCCCTGGGCACGTGTGGTGCACGGGCTGATGTCGAAGAGCTCAGCGAGGGCCATCCCGGGACGCCCGGGGCACGTGTGGTGCACGGGCTGATGTCGAAGGGCTCAGCGGGGACCATCCCGGGACGCCCGGGGCACGTGTGATGCACGGGCTGATGCCGAAGGGCTCAGTGGGGGGCATCCTCAGATACCCGGGGCACGTGTGGTGCACGGGCTGATGTCGAAGGGCTCAGCGGGGGGCATCCTCAGATGCCCGGGGCACGTGTGGTGCACGGGCTGATGTCGAAGAGCTCAGAGGGGGCCATCCCGGGACGCCCGGGGCACGTGTGGTGCACGGGCTGATGTCGAAGAGCTCAGAGGGGGCCATCCCGGGACGCCCGGGGCACGTGTGGTGCACGGGCTGATGTCGAAGAGCTCAGCGGGGGCCATCCCGGGACGCCCGGGGCACGTGTGGTGCACGGGCTGATGTCGAAGGGCTCAGCGGGGGCCATCCCGGGACGTCCGGGGCACGTGTGGTGCACGGGCTGACGCCGAAGGGCTCAGCGGGGGGCATCCTCAGATGCCCGGGGCACGTGTGATGCACGGGCTGATGTCGAAGAGCTCAGAGGGGGCCATCCCGGGACGCCCGAGGCACGTGTGGTACACGGGCTGATGTCGAAGGGCTCAGCGGGGGGCATCCTCAGATGCCCGGGGCACGTGTGGTGCACGGGCTGATGTCGAAGGGCCAGCGGGGGCCATCCTCAAATGCCCGGAGCACGTGTGGTGCACGGGCTGATGTCGAAGAGCTCAGAGGGGGCCATCCCGAGACGCCCGGGGCACGTGTGGTGCACGGGCTGATGTCGAAGAGCTCAGCGGGGGCCATCCCGGGACGCCCGAGGCACGTGTGGTGCACGGGCTGATGTCGAAGAGCTCAGCGGGGGCCATCCCGAGACGCCCGGGGCACGTGTGGCGTGCGAACTGATGCCGAGGGGCTCAGCAGGGGCCATCTTTAGACGCCGCGGTACGTCTGGGACCGCTCCCGGAGGACGTCGGAGATGCACGGCAGAACGCTGAGCTCTGATCAGACACGCATCTGCCCTATCAGCAGATGTAGCAGCGTTTCTCTTTTTTTTCATTCAAGTCACAGGTGTAGTAGGTGATTTGGGTTCTAGTGAGGCACATGCGGGGCAAAACCTAGAGCGTACTGGCTGCAATAGCTTCAAGCGAGACCGTCCTATCCCGCATAAGTACGGAAACCCCCAGAAGCCACGCGTTCAACAGCGGCCACAGCAATACCCCCTTCCAGGTGGTACAGCAGTCCCCGGCCCACGTCGACGAACACGCGAGGGCACAGCGGAGTGCCAATGGCGACGACACAGGCGGTGCAGTCCACACATGGCGAGGACCAGGACCAGCAGCGGCGGTCAGGACCAGGCCCAGTGTCACCGGTTAGGACCAGGCCCAGTGTCATCGGTCGGGACCAGGCCCAGTGTAACCGGTCGGGACCAGGCCCAGTGTCACCGGTTAGGACCAGGCCCAGTGTAACCGGTCGGGACCAGGCCCAGTGTCACCGGTCAGGACCAGGCCCAGTGTCACCGGTTAGGACCAGGCCCAGTGTCACCAGGTCAGGACCAGGCCCAGTGTCACCGGTCAGGACCAGGCCCAGTGTCACCGGTCAAGACCAGGCCCAGTGTCACCGGTCAGGACCTAGGTCCAGTGTCACCGGTCAAGACCAGGCCCGGTGTCACCGGTCAGGACCAGGCCCAGCAGCGCCGGTCCGCCGGTCCACCGGGCTCCGTTCAGCCGCGTCGGGCGGCCCTGGGGAGTCGGCGGCGCAGGGAGCGGGGAGCCGCCGCCACTGACGCCCGGCCCACTCACGCGTGTCCTGCACGATGCGGTCCCGGGTGGCGCCGTGCGACGTCAGCTGATGAAACACGTAGATGATCTGCAGCACCATCTCGTCGTCCTCCTGCTTGGCTGTCGAGGCCAGACGAGACCAGACGCGGTGAGGTCTCAGCGAAGCACGCCCACCGGTCTACACGTGACGCCCTGGCAGATCTAGCAATTCGCTGTTGCCGTTGATTGGGGTTTTAGGGCGCGTCAACGCCTATGGTCATTTTGCGCCCACAATAAGTTGCATCCATTCGTTCTTTTTCTTTTTTTTTTACCATCGCCACCTGTGATTGCAAGTCATCTCAACAGCGCTAGTAGCCGTCTATCCTCTCGTCCCGGTGACTGGGTACGCTAGCGCGGCATCCTTCCCACCCCCGCGGTGCAGACCAGCGGGTCAGCAGAGCCCCAGAGGGTCAGACCATCCCCGCCACGCAGCCGACCCCGTCCGGACGCACTGACCGTTGAGCAGGTCGACCAGCGGGGTCAGCAGGCCGGCGTCGGCCAGCAGCAGGGCGCACGCCTCGTCGGCGCACGCCGTCCCCATCAGCACCACCACCTCCAGCAGCAGGTCGTCCTCGCAGGTGCCTGCGCACCACACGGCGCAGGTCACAGCCGGCCGACGCCGGACGCCGAGCAGCGGCCCCGCACGCCGACGGTGTGCGGTGGTCAGGCGGCACGCGGCGGTCATGACACCATGCAGTGAAAGCTGGACACGTGGTTAGCAAACTGTGTGCAGGTGCGTATATGTATGCATGTGCATGTGTATGCCGTATGTTTATATGCATGCAGGTATGCATGTATGTATGTGTATGCCCGCATGCATGCATGTGTGTAAGAAGTGTGTGTACGCATGCATATATGTATTATGTACGTACGTATGTATGTATGATGTGTGTATATGTATGTATGTATGATGTGTGTATATGTATGTATGCATGCATATATGTATGTATGTATTATGTATGTATGTATTATGTATGTATGTATTATGTATGTATGTACGTATGCATGCATGCATGCATGTACGTATGTATGTATGTACGTATGTATGTATGTATATGGTAGAAGGTATGCAATTGTACTGAATAAGGCAGACACCAGCCAGTTGCTCTCGGACCGGGGTTCTCCGGACAGCGTTCACGGTGTTCGCACAGACGTAGCCACGTTCTAACTTCCGTCGACCTTGACAACTGCCCGACTGCCAACAGCGCAATCGTCGTCCAGCCCCGGTTGACACAGTCTCTACGGCCAATCTGAACCGACCCTCGGCCACGCACGTACGCGCGTACGCACGCAACATAAATCACGTCGAGATGAAAGCCTCGTCAAAGAAGACCGTCACAGATAATGCGGCGGCGCTCGCTCAGCCGGCCGCTTCGGCACGTACCCGACTCAAGCTTGGTCTTGATCCAGCCGACCAGGCTGAACTGGCGGAAGAGCCTGTCGAAGTCCAGGTTGGGAATGGACAGGTTGCCGAGCACGCCCACCGCCTCCACCACAAACTCCTCGTCCTTGCAGGAGTGCAGCGTCTCGGCAAACTCGCCCAGGAACTCCTGCGCAGCGAACAGGCTCGGTTGAGATCCGGCGGCTAGGTGAGAGTCGACGGCGGCTGCCCTCTCCGCCCGGCTCGTGTCGAGCCAGTCGTTGGCGGCTGCCCCCCCCCCCCCCCGTCCCCCCTCAGCCTGTGTCGAGCGGCCCATGAATCGGAAAAGGGAAACGAGCCGAAGGCGACAGAATCGCAAGACTGAAAACGACAGAATCATAACAAGGCAGACTGAAGGCGACAGAACTTTAACACAGCATACTGACCAACAGCAAAACGTAGGCATGTCTGATTCAGTAGACGACAGAGGCGGTTGATTCAACACATGTCTGCCGTTCAGCACCTTCGGCCACCCCGCGCCGCACGCGGCCTACACCGTGCACCGGCAGCGGCCCGAGCGCGGCCGCGCCCCTGCCCACTCCCCCACTCACCAGGAAGAGCACCTTGGTTTGGCCATCGTGCTGGCTAATATTGCGGATCATCTTCATGAGCAGCGGATCGGTGTGTTGGAAGGCGCGTGCCACCAGCAGCGCCAGGCCGTCGGCCTCGCACACCAGCTCGGCGTTCCGTTTGTTCGCCGTCAGGTTGATACAGAGCGCCATCAGCTCCAGGCCTGCGCGTGAGCGTGCGGAAGGTGGCGGCGCCAGCGCGAGTCGCCGCTGCCGCTCGCTGGGCCAGCCGCAGCGACGTCGACTACTGGGAGCCCGCGAGAAGGCTCGCGCGATACGACTGACATGGAGCCGCGGCTACACGTGCGATACGACTGACATGGAGCCGCGGCTACACGTGCGATACGACTGACATGGAGCCGCGGCTACACGTGCGATACGACTGACATGGAGCCGCGGCTGCACGTGCGATACGACTGACATGGAGCCGCGGCTACACGTGCGATACGACTGACATGGAGCCGCGGCTGCACGCTTTGAGCGCGCATGTGACGGCTTTCCCGCGCAGCGACGCGGTCCGACTGGACCCGCTTCGGAGCCGAACGTTCCCGTCGGCGCAACAGGTCAGTCAAACGTCTCCTGCTCAGCTTCACATCCCGTCACGACAACAACGAAAACATCAACATCCTACATCCCACATCCTACATCCTACATCCTACATCCTATATCTACATCCCGCAGAGCGCCCGGCAGGTGATGCGCGGCTGGCGCACGTACCGGCTTTGGGCTCGGGCCACTCCAGGATCAGCTTCATGCAGAGTGGCACACAGTCGGTGTAGGCGAACATCGACTTGACCTTGTCATCCATCGACAGGTGGTACAGCACGGCGATGGCGGCCGACCGCTGCCGAGGCGACGCTGCCCGCACCGACACCGTCACGGTCACGATCACGGAGTCAGTCAAGGCCAGGGTCGGGGTCGGGGTCGGGGTCAGGGTCAAGGTCAGGGTCAAGGTCAGGATCACGATCACGATGAGGACCGGGTGCAATATTAGTGTTGTGGGCAGCCCACTGTTGCCTAGGTAGCAGCCACAATTGGCGCAGAGATCCGCAAGTTTCGTCACAACGAGCTCTCGCCTGGCGTGGGAGAGAGCCCGCGGCTCCCAGGGCAACGGCCATGTTCCACGGGGCATCCCCATATCCCAGCTACATTTCATGTCGTATACCATGGGTGCTCTCTGCTACGGCATGGCAGAAGCTTTTACGTAAGCGACACAAACACAACGATGCTTGGAGAATAGAACGTTGTCCGTTACCATAAGCGCACGATGTATTTCGCTTTTCAGTTGCTTTGTTAGCCTTTCAGACATCACAACCACAGCACCCATATGAAGTGAGCCATTGTTACTGTTCTCACCCACTTATGAGCCCAATTATTATTCAATGTGAACTCACCTATGTGTTCTCACATACGTGGGTTCTTCCGTCCCACGCCACTGAGCACAACATGTGGTGTGCGTGCGACAGCCGCAGTACAAACCGCACAGCGCACCACCGGTGAGCGAATGTGGAACAAGGGCGCAACGTGCACCAACGCACCCTGCCTGAGACAACGGCAAAAAACGTGATGCACCTACCATCCCGTGGCAGAAAATTAGACCCTCCCACACAAAAACGAGCCAACGTCGCTAGCGGAAACAGCCCAGACCAGTGGCCTGTGCCGGTGAGCCTGTGCAGGACCCGGTCTGTACCGGTGAGCCTGTGCAGGACCCGGTCTGTGCCCGTGAGCCTGTCCAGGACCCGGTCTGTATCGGTGAGCCTGTACAGGACCCCGTCTGTACCGGTGAGCCTGTACAGGACCCCGTCTGTACCGGTGAGCCTGAACAGGACCCGGTCTGTACCGGTGAGCCTGTGCAGGACCCCGTCTGTACCGGTGAGCCTGTCCAGGACCCGGTCTGTACCGGTGAGTCTGTACAGGACCCGGTCTGTACCGGTGAGCCTGTGCAGGACCCGGTCTGTACCGGTGAGCCTGTGCAGGACCTGGTCTGTACCGGTGAGCCTGTACAGGACCCGGTCTGTACCGGTGAGCCTGTACAGGACCCGGTCTGTACCGGTGAGCCGGGGCCGGACCCGGCCGGACCCGGCCTGCCGCTGCGCCGCTGAGGGTCTACCACTCACGGATCAGGTTCACCAGCTTGGGCAGCAGGCCGACGTTGACCATACGGGCGCGGTGTCCGGCGTCGAACGACAGGTTCAGCAGCAAGCGGACGGTGATGTTGAGCAGGTCGGCGTTGTCGTGCGGCACCAGCGGCGACAGCTTCTCGGCCACGGCCAGCTCCAGCTGTCGGCAGCCACGTCCGTCTACAGTCAGTCGCAGGACGCGGGCACCCCAGCCGAGCGCGCGGTACGCAGCGGCGGTCACGTGTCCGCGTGCGTGATCGCCTCTGAATGCTGCAGAACGTTGTATTCGTTCGACATGCGAACCATTGACCGGTGATGTAAGATACGGGTCTTGGACTGTTATACGGTTTCTTAAAGTTTACGTATTAATTCTAATTTAGTACTTATTTGCTCATCTACCTATTCATTCATTCATTCATTCATTCATTCATTCATTTATTAAGTTATTTATTTATTCATTAATTTATTCATGTATTTATTTAAGTATGCATTCATAAGCATATATCACATTATATATATATATATATATATATATATATATATATATATATATATATATATATATGTATATATATATATATATATATATATATCCGCTCATTCATTCATTTCTTTGTTCATTCGTTCATTCATTCATTCATTCCGTTATGCATTCATTTCATCTCATCTACAAGCATTTCTTTACGTGAAGTTCAAGTTGACGTTTGGACACTGAGGTTTGCGTCGTCGCCGTCATTGGGGTTTTACGACGCACCCAGCTGCTGAGGCTATATGGCGTCGCCTGTTTCTCACCCTGGCAGGAGAAGTCGTGGTAATTGGGGTTTTCGGCCGCTTCGACTGCGCGGTCATATAGCGCCCATAGCGCATGTCCTAATCAGAGTTAATCGGGAAGCTCAAATGACCTATCATATGCCGCGAACGATCCGAGCCAGTGTATAAATAGAACAGAAGATAGTACGCGACAGGAATTTAACGAAATTTGCGTCGAGTGCTGGGTCATTACCGAGTAAATCGGAGAGCGTGAAAGATCCAGCAGCCAGGCCGAAGTACATCAGACGTTTAACACGTAATGCGGAACAAGAAACGAATACAGAGCGCACAGTAAGCGTTGCGTTACATTGCCAGCACCGAGGCGGTTCCTCGCGACACAAAGGGTAGCTATGGCTGGCGTAAGTGTGACCGATCCGCAAGCGACTTAGAGTGACTTCCTTCCGTCGTGACGACTTCCGATAGATTGACTGTCATTCCTGGATAGCCGGCTTATTTTAAATATATTGGTGCCCACTGTATCCCATGTGCTCTGCCACCACCCTCGTAAAAAGGAAGCTATAGCTGGGTATGTGTCCGTGTCGGGTAGTGGATATGCTCTTGTGCATGGACGAAGCGCAGCACGCTCTGCAGCGGCGTCGGCGAGCTCATTTCCAGTGATTCCCGCGTGGCTCGGAAGCCAGCACAGCGCTTTGACCTTCCCGGCCCGGTTTAAGGAGCCAAGACGTAATACAATGTCCTGTATAACGGAATTCGTGAGATTAAAACGTCTTAACGCCGAAACATTATTTAGCGATTACGATAAAAGCACGTGCAAGGCACCTTCGTCCACCATTTTAAAGCAGAAGGCCTTACTTATCGCCACTAGCTGTGGCGTATACACAGACGAATCTGTCGGTATCGTGAATGACTGTGTGTCTTAGCCGCACACCAATGCGCAACCAATGCCCGTATCCGTTTTAGAACCGTCCGTATATGTGGTTTTGTATCCCCGATACATTTCGATGTGATGTAAGGCTGTAGCTCTAGCAACACATGGCATCATATCTTGTTTTCGAGCCTGCGCCAGGGACACGTCGGCAACTGGCGACACTAGCGTCCATGGACGGGCCGGCAGGCTGAATGGGCGCATCACATTCCGCAGACTCAACCTACTCTCACGAAGGACATCGTGAACACGCTGGCAAAAAAACCGCTGCGTTTTGCGTCCGCTCGCCTTGGTAAACATCTTATGTTTCGCGTGAAAACACAGCCCTTTGTGTTGGGTAACGCGGGAATTTCACCAGCTTGATAGCGTACCGTAAGCCTGACAACTTCCTTCGGATCGCTAGCGGCGGTTCATTGGCTTTAACGAGCAAGCTAACTGCTGGAGGCGTCAGAGAAGCACCAGTGATGACTCTCAGGAAGGGCGGGCTCCGTTTGAAATGAACCCCGTGCCTCTCGCTTCCCAGACACACACCGAGGTATGCATGTACGTACACATGTATATATGGACAAGGTTTCCTAGGAGCCTTCAGCAGTATACAGGAGAGAGACCGAATTCAGGATACGACAGGATAGATGAACAGGAAAGGGAAGAGGCTGTAGGCAGGAGTCACAAGACCTTTTACACACATCGAATTGACCGTCAATACATGCTAGAGTTCATGAGCATCACCAAAAAATGGAGGGGGTCCGCTGCAGTGTCAGCCAATAGAGGAAGTGGGTGGAGGAAGGGGGGGGGGGGGGGCGTGTGGGAAACACGAATCGTCACTCGCCGAGAACAGAGGTCCTTCGGAGCATAAGTTACCAGTGAACACGACTGGAACGATCAAACCTTACTTGAAAACGTTCAGGCAGGATCCCACACCTGCCAACCGACCCAGTGGCATAACCCACAACAGGTGGACCTCGTAGGAGGTGTGAACGCCCGGCCGACGGAGGACATGTACAATGCAGATCACAATAAGGACATGGCATTTACAGGATAGGGTCACAAGCCATTTGTCTTGGATAAATGGCGTGGGTTCAAACCCAGGTCTAACATAAAACACAATTGAGTGGTACTCAAAAGCATTGGCCCTGAATCCGACCACACCGTTGGAAACCCAGCGCGGCGTAAACCCGGTCTCACCATATCGTCCTTGTTCTCGACGTAGATGGACAGCTTCTTGAGGAAGGTGACGACCAGCAGGAGGAGGTCGGCACTGTCGCGGTCCAGGCAGCGCACCAGCAGCGGCACGATTCCCTTTTTCCGCATCTTCTCCTCCGTCTTGACGTCCTCGGCCAGGTTCAGCAGCAGATACAGGCACACTGCAGGGCGCGCGCCGAGGCCGGAGGGTGAGCGGCGCCGACCGACGCGCCGCCAGGCTGCACACCTATAGCTGCAGACCTGCCCCCTGTCCGGCTCCGTGACCCGGGGGCAGCACAGCGCAGGCCGTTCTAGCTTTACCCAAGGACTGAGACGAGGTATCAGTGCCACGGATGGACTAATTGTTCGGACTGCCGCCCTCGGCTGGAGTGTTTGTGTGTGCACAACGTTTCGGCCAGTTGACTCTCCGGCAGTCGTCATGGAGTCCTGAGAGGTATTATGGAGTCCTGAGAAGGACTGGATGACGCTCGGCTTCCCGCCTGCTGTGGAAGGCGTCTCGCGGCGTAAGATGTGACCAGACATCCTGGGTCTGAACAGGCGTGTCTCCATGTAGCATGCCAAGAGTAGACCGTGGTCACAGCCCCACCAGCCCGCGTCCGTCCCCTCGGACCGCCTTGTGAAGCCGCCCCGGTGTCCCTCCGCCACCACCAGCGCCTGACCTCTGAGCAGCTGGTTCTGTCGCCTGACCAGGCCGGCCATGGTGCGGCGCGCCTGCTGGTACTCCTGCTCGGGGCCGGCGCGCTTGCGGCGCGCCAGGTCCTCCCGCCACTGGGCGTGTCGCTTCAGCTCGTGGTCCACCATGTCCATGCAGAGCGAGCCCATCTGCGCGGCGGGCGGCAGCTGTCACCGTCGGTCTGCTGACCTAGCCCGGTCAGCATGACACTGCGACAGGTCCACAAGTTGACGGCCCATTAGGAGACGAGAGAGAAGACAAACACTCGTGTTCCACGAGGGATGAGCCCGTTGGTCCAGAACGTTGTGCTTCCGCCGCTCGCGGCCGAAGCTCACTGTAGGCGTCTCACGTCTACTCGACTCTCAGACAGCTGTCGCACTTCGGCGGCAGATTCCGCTGCCCCCCTCCTTCGACTACGGCAAAGGCCGACCGGAGCTGAGCTGGTTGGGAAGTCATGTCCTAGTAATCGAAACCCCTAACCCGCGGAGGGGGCAGAGTACATTGGCGACATTTGGCGTTCAGCGACGTATCGACTGAGAGGCGTCACTGAGAGGCGCTCTCATTGTGTTTGCAATGAAAACCGCACCCAATCGGCTGCAAATGCGGCTTTTGGCACGCAGTATTCATCATTGTTGGCACCGGTTGGAGCTGCAGTGGCCATACGTGAAAAGCTCACAGTTTTCACCCGAGGGCCCTCAAAAGCGGCCGATGCGTTTGTCGGTACTGAAAGGTCATTTGGCTAAAATCTGCGTTCCGATCCCCCCAACCGTGGTGGGATGGGTCCGAGTCCCTTAAGGCGCTCGCTATTTGCCCTTGACTATGATGGCCTGCGGCTGGTGGACGCAGCCGCGCAAAAGGCCATATGACGTCACAGAGCAGGGCATACGGTGCCGAGCGATGCGGCACGCTAACCTTTCGCCGCAAAATTCTACCATTGGCCTGCAGGTGCAAGGCCGGCTGGAGGAGTCGGTCTCACACAACAAACACTACTTTAAGTCAGTACTGGACCATGGAGCGATCTAATCTTAAGTCGTTGTGAGTTAGGAGATCTTATCCTAGCATTAATCGACCTTCAGTGTACCAGGGGCGCTGCTATACAGGAGTCATTAGCAACAATGATAAAAGTCCGGACAAAAACGAAATGTTTGTTAATATTACAATACTTCCTGTGTCACACGTTCAACCAGGATTTCTCTGTGCACTGAAAATCATCTATTATCAGAATGATATCGCCCGACTTTTCCTTGTATCACGCTAATCAGAATACGAGAACTCAAAAAAATCCCTGGAATCTGGGCGCCAGATTTCCCTTGCTGCTGCTATCAGTTAGTGCTATCAGGCTCTGCCCACGCACGCGCCCACCTTCTGCTTGACGACAATGCCGTGGAACTGGGAGAAGGTGGACATGCAGAAGAAGATGTAGACGATGTTGGTGGCGAGCACGGTGGACTTCTTCCACTCCTCCCGCAGCGTTCGCGACAAGGCACCAATCATGGCCTCTGGAACACGTCACGAACAGCTACATCACACCGAATGGTCGCCTGAAGCGACACGCCTTTGCTAAAAGCAGGGCCCCCGGTTAGTTCGGCAACAGTCCTGTTCGGAAGCCCAAACACACGGCGGACGCCATGAAAATATATTGCAGGCTTCTACGCTATCATCAAACTACTGAGAGGCAAGTCATGAAGCGGAGATTCGTGGCGAGTCACCAGATATTTTCGCCAGCTGTTGGAACACTACGTCGGAAATACTGTGCAACTGGTAATACCCATGCTCTGTGTTTCAGCTCCAGTCTGCAAATACACGACCGACGCCAGGCACGTCCGACGCGGAAGCGACGGTGGCCCAATTTCAGCGCACACTAAATCTGAGCGGCTCAAACTTCGGCGCAAAGTCGCCACTCATTTCGGCGCATAGAGAGCTAATGCTTCAATGGACCATGTTTCAAGGGCAGTTTCAGCAAAAAAAAAGTTGCCAGACATTTTTTCAAGCTGAAATAATTTACTAAAAATTAGTGCAATTCGGCCTGGCCTGAGCTCGGCGACGCGTGTGCCGGATTCCGCGCATTGATGTCGCGTAAGCGTCTGGCGCATTGGATAGAGTGTTTGCATACTAATCACCTGACTGAGCATACCTTTTGCCACGTTGTGTTTTTTTTTTTATTACGTGAAATCGGTCCAGATAGGCCGTAATAATGAAATCTAAAATGATCTGTGTGCCAATGTGATTACTAGCCACATCCGTTGCTGCTCGCATTACAGACCAAGACCGAATTGCGGAGATGAACTGGAACCGTCACGAAAAGGCACTCAGCCCGTGTTTTTGTCGGTAATCCCAGCAGCCGAAATTACCATGTACGCGACGCGAGCCGCGCGATGGTGGTATTGTGGTGAGCATAGCTGCCTTCCAAACAGCTGACCCGGGTTCGGTTCCCGGCCAACGTCTTATCATTTAACCTGAGCATAATCGCTTGCAATGCTTGATCAATCCCTTTCCATGGTACCGGACTGCACCGGAACTAACAGTAATAGCTTCACAATATGTTCATATCAGACATTTGAAGCGGGCCCCTACCCACAATGACAACTGGCTGCAGTTTCGTTTAATTCGTTGGGCAGCCTGCATTCGGCTGTGTCAAAAAAGCAAAGCTTGCAGGGCCCATGCTATTTAATTGTGTGTCCGGCCCTGTCCATCATGTTCTTATTGTTTGGATCCATTGTTATTCAAAACAAAGGATTCGCCAAAAATCTTGTACATGTTATTTCCTGAACGACAGTAATAATGATACTGCAGCGAGTAAATACATGTGATATGATGAATGAACGAAGGACATCTTTCTCACCTTGTTGTCAAGATCTCCATGACATGAATTTAGGTAACAGCGTCTAGCATCAAGGTTCTCCAGTCATCCCTTATCCTTGCTTAAGTTTGCCCAATTGGGGCGCCAGACCTTCCCTGACGGTGTTTGACATGTTAAAAAAGCACCACTGAAAACTGAGTTAGGCACACCTTGGGCACATGTAACTTCTTGAGTGTCGTAAAACAGCATCGTGTGTTGTTTTTTGCGTGACTGCTTGGAAAGTTGTGACTCAATGTTAAGTCACGTACATATTAGTACATGTCACACATTTGGTACTGGGGAGGACATGTCCCGCTGGGGGCTGCTATGTGCGTACGCCCCTGTCCCGGAAGCCTGACCGGTCGCTGGCCACGCGCCAGCCGTCACCCGTCCCACCCGTACGCCGGCCGGCCCACTCACCATTGTTGACCAGTTCGTCCAGGTTATCCGGGTTGCGCGCCAGCTGGAGCAGCATGCGCGAGCCGCGCTCCTTCTCAGCCACCTCTTCGTACAGCAGCTCCACATACGCATCGACCTCAGTCAGGCAGGCGGGCACGGCCGGCTCCGGCGAGGAGGGCGCAGAGTCGGCCGCGCCCGAGTCGGAGGTACCTGTTGGCACGGCGCGAACCCCGGTCAGCGCGGCAGCCACCGGCCAAACACGCACGCACGCACGCACGCACGGATATGCAGCAAGGGTGGGCACGCAGAGTTCCGACGGACGCTGAGCAGCTGATGCCGATCTGGGCCGGCTGACCTGCGGTGACGGGTGCCGACCTTTGACCCTGACCTGCGGCGCTGTGCTTGGCGCGGCTGGCCGCCGCGCGCTGGCCGCCGGTTCTGCAAATAGAAGATGGCCTGCTCGACCTCCGGCCGCCGGGATGGGTGGATCAGCTGACAGCGCGCCACCACCTCCTGCGCCAGCTGCGCCACGTTCGTCTTCTCGCTGAGAGATGTCAGACGGATGATCTTCTGGCACTCCTGGTAACAGCAGGATGGTGTCAGTGCCCAAAGGGCAAATAAAACTGTGGTTTTACAAAATGTTGGAAGGAAGAACAATGTGGAAGGACTCAACATTTGGACAATTGTCTGTGGTACTGCTTCCTACATTGAGACCAGAGATGATTACATGATCCCCTTTAGGTTCCTGTCACATAGCTTTCCAGTTAACATAGTGTGCTGGCTATTATTTGAAAGGGTTGAAAGAGTTATGAGTTAATTAATTATATTTCAACATGCCTCTACTTTCACACAAAGACAAAGGCCCAAGCCCTGATGATTCATGTGCTGAGGGCTGCCTAAACACCATGAATTGTACCCAGAGATCAGACACTAATCACATGTGAACAAGATACACTAATCCTGCTACTGCATACACAAGTTCCCAAGGAAATAATGATCTGACTGTGTGTGACAAGCAATACTAATTTGCTTGCAACACATCAAAATTATCTAGTGCAATTAATCATGTGTCACACCTGGTTTATGACGGTACCTGATATTTTGTTAATGATCATTATCAGGGGCACTTGTCATGCTAACTACAGAACAACTATGGGAAGTTAAGGCACCATACCTTTTTGTCACCAAGCATGGGGTCACCCAATTCACCAAGTATTGTTGCCTCCAATTCATAGTTAACAAGAAGGGCTTTTTCAGTGGGATGCACATCAATGCTTCCAGTTTTAACACGCTTTTTTAGGTACTTTGCATCCTCTGTTTGCATTGCTGTGCACTAAATCTGAAATAGTAGCCAAAATTATGGTTAGAAACCCAACATGCCCAGCACACGAGCATGCAGTACCCCTTTGGCAGTAGGGGTATATGTAGTAAAGTAAATCAGAGTTGTGGTTAAGGGACTATAGTAACTTGAGCAAAAAACAAAAATATGTGGTTTATTCCATCCCTAAGTGAACTGCGCTGTGGGCATTTGAAATGTCAGGAACATCAATAAGCAGTTTGACCTCCATAACAATTCTTAATATGCAATATGGGGCAGAGCATGTATGCTGAGAGGCTTCTTACTGTGTATTGATGGATTTTCAGTTACAAGCATAACCACGGCGGCCAAAGACGATCAACAAACAACTACTGATCTATGCTGTCTCTGATGCCCTACCCCGGCCAGCTTTCAGCAATGTGGTGTATCGTATCCATAAGACAGTCATTTTCCAGCTACAAACACGGCATAATGCCTGCAGAGCTCCAGTAAACAAAAAAGATGGCCTACCAATTCACATAGAACGCAGACATTCAATGGACATCGATATCGATTAGGGTCGGTCTCAGTTCGCACTGTTTGTTTTGTATGAGCAGGCTTAGAGGACAAATGCTACGCGCATCTGCGTCACTTATACCTATTTGAAACATATGCGTCAGGCATGTAGTACATGTAAAGACAGATATGCCGCGTGTATTACGAAATATCGCGCAGCCTGTTTACTCGCAGGACGATTCTGAATCAATTGAGTTTTAATGTTGCTTGGGTGGTCAGTAGTTCGGCCTATGGAGCGTTGTAGGTAGGTCGGCACGGTTGTATGTTTTGCAACACTAGTATTATAATTTGCCGGCACGCAATCCTTGGCAGGACGTCTGTGGAGACGGCCAGGAGGTCTGAACAGCGGGTAGGTAATTTAGGCTGCAGCACCACCAACGACTGCAAGTAATGTACATGCTGACCGCGTCTGGCACAGCAGTGGCATTGTAGTAAAAATTTCACCTCGTGTAGTGCAGATATGAGCACCCCAAGGCTGATGCTGTCAGCACCAAGTTCAGCTCATCAAATTTTGATGGCTCAAATAATTGTGATGTTGGAAAGATTCTTTGAGCTTGAAATACTCTGAAAGCATTTTACTGTGAAAGAATTATTGAACAGGTCAGCCCAAATTGGCATAGCCTGAGTTTAGGGCGCACCAAAAATCAGCAGAATTTGGCCCTGCCTGAGTTTGGTATATGCAGGCATGAGGTTTAGCTCATCAATGTTGCAGCCATCTGGTGCAATGCATGGATTTTTTGCACAATGGGCACCACACAGCATGGTTGGAAAGAGTATGGCAATAATTTCCATCTTGGGAACACTTTTTTTAGTTCACTGCACCAAATGTGTATTCTGATATTGAGAATGGATATTCTATTCAGTAAGGCATCACTGCAAGGAGCCTGAGTGATGGTAACATATTTTGTGGTATCCTGGTATTTTATAATGGTATGAACTTTGAATTGATCTGAAATATTGATATTGCTCATGCCATTTGTTTCTTGACAGAATTTGATGTCTGGTGATAGAAAGTAAGCTGGGTAGTTAGGCTACCATACAAATTGGTGTGGAGTTTGAATTAAGAATTATAATGTTAGAGAATTATGATGTTGAAAAGGCAATTTCAGATGAAAATGCCTTTAGCAAGTTTTCAGGGCAATATTAGATGAGAGATCAGCACAATCTGGTCTTGTCTGTGCTTGGCAAATGGGAGAGTGAGGCTCAGCACACCTGTGCTGGGTAGACATCCAGCACAGGTGATGGGCTGCTTGCAGGCTTGTATGTTGGTTGTGTGTGATGACATATGGCACCAAGTCTAATTACAGAGATAGTGTTATTAAACCAGCATGTAACCAAGATGCAGTTGTTTCAATCCTTTTCTGGATACTGGTTTCCATTACCTAACCAGTTAAGACAAGAGTATTGAAGAGCAGTCAATGGTGGTTGCTCATTGAACAACACATATAGGTTTATGCATGTCTGATTGCTATAAGTGACATGTGTGGGCACTGCATGACCTACAGCATTCAAAGCATAAGTGACATGTGTTGTATTTCTGCTGAATTGTTAGCATATTAATGAAATGACAATGATGGATAAAGGGAGAGGTGGGTTGAGGGGATGACAAATAGTTTGGGAATTTGCTCAGGGATGACATATTGGCATACAGTGGAAATATGATGGATCATAAAGGGTCCAGATGTGGGCAATAAATGTGCAAGTATATCAGTAAAGCAGCTGGGGTTGATCATCTTTATAATATTCCCTGACCTCCAATAAATTCTTGCTACCACATAATGCTGGCATCAGCTGCAGGAAAAGATTAAGTGTGATAATGCCCATCTGACATATTAATTCCATTGTTTCACAAGTTAGTGTGATTGGTGGCTTGTGGTGATTTGGTATGCAGGTTCAAAAGATTCCATACATGTATGTGGCAAAAGGCCAGTCCATAGACATCTAATCTTGTGCTTCTACCCGTTGCAATGTCTTTTTGTAGGACAGTTTTGTCATATGACTCCATTTGGTGGTCATGTTAGTCTGTGCACTGACATGCTGTTCATTATTGCAGGCTCAATTCAAAAACTGTTTTGTATCTTGAGTGAACAGTCTGCACAGCACCCTGGCCACCCTACTGTGTGAAGTGAATCACAAGTGTGTTGATAATTGTAAGGCCATAGATATTCACCATGCAGGCCCCTGTTATAAAAAAGGAAAAGGAAGATGAAGATGATGAAGTTGTCCAAGAGGTAAGACAAGCTTATAACAAAGCTGTGCAACAGTCATCCATTTAGATTTGTTAACTCTTGCACAGTGGTGGAAATGTGCTTGAGTTTGTGTATATTTGGATTCAAACCTTTAGATAGTGAGTTTAAAAAATATTTGGTCTGCAATAAGTATACAGGTTTAATCTACAAAAGTTTAGCCTTCAATAGAACAGGTAGGAGATCAAATAAGGAATTATCAACTGTAAGGCCTGAGTCAACTTCCTGGTGTGAAAACCAACCTGGCTGTGGTTTGTTAGATATTAATGTCCCTTGTCTGTAACATGACAGTGCAGTATCTGCTCTTACTTCCAAAATAAGAAATATGATATGGCATGCATGAATGTCCCAACTGTAAAATACAAGCTCTTGCAAACAAGTTGTGAAGTGCCTAAACCACAGGTTACATCACAATGTTTGCTGGCCATCTAATCTCCATGTGTTGTATGCCTAACTATCTAAAGTGAAGTAGATGGTCTAAAAACCACGCAAAAGTACCACGGTGCTAAATGCAATGAATGCAGTACGTCACAATTGAATCACATACTGAACTCACCCTTCTTGCTTGTACAATCTTCCCAACACATGTGCCGTGATTGGACTTTCAGATGCCAGTGTATCTGTCTAAGGGGCTGCAGGAGAAGCTGTGGGTACTCCAGTATCCAGTGCGGCCAGCCCACATGACGTACGACCATGCCCATTTCCTGGAGGTATGCCACATTCATTTTTGCATGTTGGGTCTCGGCATGTGGGCCTGTGCAGGACTACAGCCCTCTGCATTGACTGCACCAGGCCTCTACATCAGCTGCTACCCTTATGTGAGCTGGTGGGATATTTTTAACAGATAGCAGCATACCTTTTCTGTATCTAGTATGCACCTAGGGCTGCTAGGTAGTGAGCGTGCTTAACCTAGCAACCCTGTGTTCGGCCTCCAGCCATGTTCACGCCCCATCCGATTTTTCCTTGGCGTTGCTGGGATTTGATCCCGGGTGTTTTCGCCACGAGCCCAGCGCTCTACCACTAAGCTAACAGACAAGGATTGCCTTCCGGCGGACTTGTGATGCGGGAGCCCAAGACGGACTCTAGCGCTTGCGTGCGTGTGTGACTGTGCCGGAGCGGCGGGCGGGACGGTTCGCGGTGTCAGCGGCCGCGGCGGCATCACGGAAGCTGACGCCTGCGTCTGCCCGGCTGCAGGCCAAGCTGAAGCCGGAGCAGCACCAGCTGAAGCTGTCGCTGGAGATCAACACGGCCAGCGCCAGCTACGAGACCAGCAAGGGCGAGCAGATAGCCCTCAATGTCGATGGCACGCGACTGACGCGTGATCATAACGACCTCTTCTACGGCGGGTTAGTCGGCCTGCAGCCAGGCGTGCCACGTGCCCCGCCGCGTGTCCCGCTGTGTCGCGCCGCGTACCGTCGTGTCACGTCGCTCTCCGCCGTGTCACGATGCGTCCTATCGTGCAACGCCGCGTCCTGTCGTGTCACGCCGCGTCCCGTCGTGTCACGCCGCGTCCCGTCGTGTCACGCCCCGTCCCGTCGTGTCACGCCGCGTCCCGTTGTGTCCCGCCGCGTACCGCTGTGTCACGCTGCAGTTCGCCGTGTCCCGTCGTGTCCCGCCGCCCAGGGTGTGTTCACGCCCTGAGCGGCAGCGACCCGGTGCCCCATCTTTATCATGACAATGTGACAATGTGACGCGGTGACGTGGACTGCCACGTAGGTAACGGCACACTGGTTGGTTTGGTGATTTGGTTTTTAAGGGCGCGTCAGCATCGGGGCCATTTTGGGTTACGGCACACTGATTGAATGGTGTTCTACCACTTCCGTCAGAACACGGTGTGAAATGGTGTTTCCGCCAGGAAATGTGCTCACACTAACTGAAGCGTCTTTGTGAGATTTGCCATTTAGCTGGACTCCATTGTCTCCTCTACTGATAAGACAGTAGTATTAGCCTTATTCCTCTGAGAAAAAACGGGAGAATGTAGATGTAGTTGACTGATATTTCGGCAACATGTCCTTATCGAAATATCAACCTAACTTTATCCCCATTATCCCGTTGTTTCCGAGGAATAAGGCTAGTGCTAGTGTCTTATCTATGTGAATAATGTTCCTCGCTAATGTCCTCAGCAACTTACGTAGTCGTCTCTACTGCGCCAAGCGCGTATTTGACCCCATCTTGATTGGCCGACGTGCGGGGCTTGCTGGCTTCGTTCCGTGCGTCCCCGTGACGGCCGCGCCATGCCCCGGCCGTGCCCCCCCCCCCCCCTGCCCCCTTCCCCGCCGTGACGCGGCGCCGTCCGCCCGGCCAGCTCCGTGATGGACCGTCAGACGCTGTCCTCCACGCTGGTGACGCCGTGCTCGCGCCGCTACTGCCTGGGCGTGGTGTCGGACGGCGAGCTCCACCTGTCGCCCGTCGACGCCGTCGTGGCGCTGCGCCCCAGCTTCGACTACCTGGACCGCGGCGACAAGAAGGGCCGCCAGGAGGCGCGCGAACTCGGCGAAGGTGTGTCGGCGTCATTCCTGCTGTTATCGTCGATGTTTTCGCTGCGATATGTGTTGAATTTACTCAATTACACAGCAAATCGGTGTGCTATCGCACTGCTGTCAGTATTAGGGAGTGAGTGTCGGGGTGTGGGTAGCGCAGTATGGTTGGGCGGCGTGTCTGGGAAATCAGCGGTACGGGATCGATTCCCCGCGGTGCCAACCCTTTGTCGGGGTGAGAGGCAGGCGGCGTCAGTCAGCCTCAGCTGCTGAATGCATGGTAAAGCCGCAACGACAAAAACGGCAATGCGTCAGAGTCTGGGGTCTCTGCGCGCGTGTGTGAGAGAGAGAGAGGGGGGCGGCGTGTCGTCTACACCCGGCTCGTCGGCCCTCGTCCCTCAGATGTGTCGGGTGACGAGGACGAGCCGGACGGGCCCAGCACGGAGCGTGTGACGGTCAAGTTTGCTCGGCCCGAGCCCGACCGCATCAAGCAGGCTCGCGAGCGCTCCTACCAGTACCTCAAGCGCAAGCAGGACGAGCAGCCCTGGGTGCCCACCACTGTGCACAAGCGCTCCAGCGCCAGCAGTGAGGTGGGCTGCCACCGCCCGCCGCGCTCCGGCACACGAGACGTGTGCGCGCGCGCCGGGTGGCGGGGGTGGCGGGGGTCGGGGGTGGTGGCCTCTGACGATCTCGGGTGTGGTCGACATTTGCCAGAATTGTTTGGGTTGGACAATAAGGTATTTGGGCGGTGTTTCGGATGTGGAAGTCATGCTGTTTGGGACATTGCTTGTCAACGTCTGTGCCGCATTGACAGATTGTACAGTATGAAAATTGTTTGATTGCACGGTGTGAAAATTGTCATTACATAATGAGATGGCGGGCAGAGCTGCGCACGTATCACCTCATGGTCTTGTATCGATGCGATCGTCTTCTTCCGCTAGACGGAGTGGCAAAAGCTGCTCTGCTCGCGGACGGACGACCTTTCCCTGGCGGCCACCATGGACCAGGGCGAGTACAAGCAGCGCCTGCTCCCAGAGCCATCTGTTGAAGACATTACCAAGCGTGGTTTACAGAATGAACAGCAGATGTCGCTGCGCTCACTGCGCGGCCTGCCACTTGCCGAACAGATTCGTGCGCTGATGATAAGGCGTAAGTGGTTTTCGTTGGCTGTCGTAATGACATCGTTAAGCTGGATATCTTATGTTTTGTTACAATTCGTAAGGAACCCAAGATCGCGTCTTCTTCGATTCTTGTTCCGGCGTGCCACCGAGTTTTTTTTTTACTAAGATCGTGTTGGACTGCTTAGAAACCTTTTTGCAGCCAGCCCTCTTGTAGAAGTAAAATCGCGCTGCTGGCAGTAGTTATGTTTTTGAATGAAGCAATGGGCACAATGAGATTATGTCAGTTTTGAGCACTGTAGTTTGGATCGACAAGACAGCAGTAATAGCCCTATTCGTCGGAGAAAAACCAGGAGGATGGAGATATAGATCCTGGCTTTTCTCTGAGGAATAAGGCTATTGTTACTGTCTTACATATGTGAATAATGCTCCTGGCAAATGCACTGAACAACTTACGTAGTCTAGGTTGAAGAAATACTAGAGTTACGCATATACCAACGTTCTGAAGCTGGCAGGGCAAGCAGTGTGAGCGGTTCCCAGTCTTAGGATGACAGGTCGTCATCTCCATTTGTTGTTGAGCCTCCATTGGGGTATCGTGGCATGCACGTCTGTAAAGGGTACTTCGGTTTACGTCGTGGTCACCTGTATCATACCCACGACAAGTACGATCCAACCTGACTTTAACTGCTGCCTTCCCTTACTGCACGTCGGCACTTTACTCTCCCCACTCTTAACACTGTCCATCTCTATTTGCCATTGAAGATGTGCCAGTTCGGTGCTCCGCTGCCGCGTGTCCCCCGTCTCCGCTGGCAGTGGAGGTGCGCACGATCGGTGCGCTGCTGCTGCTGTGTGACCCCTCTCTCCGTTTGTATCTCCTCCATCTCGCCGTCGGCAGTGAAGGTGTGCCAGTTCGGCTCGCTGCTGCCGCTGCTGCCGCGTGGCCCCTCTCCCGTTTGTAACACCATCCCTCTCGCCACCGGCAGTAAAGGTGTGCCAGTTCGGCTCGCTGCTGCCGCTGCTGCCGCGTGGCCCCTCTCCCGTCTGTGACACCCTCCATCTCGCCGCCGACAGTGAAGGTGTGCCAGTTCGGCTCGCTGCTGCCGCTGCTGCCGCGTGGCCCCTCTCCCGTCTGTAACACCATTCCTCTCGCCACCGGCAGTAAAGGTGTGCCAGTTCGGCTCGCTGCTGCCGCTGTTGCCGCGCGGCACGGCGCCCGGTGACGCGGTACGCGTGCTGCAGCAGACGGCCCAGCTGGTGCGGGGCCTCTGGGTGGTGCGCAGTGATGTGCTCTACCCCAAGGGCGGCCAGACGCCCCGCACCGGCGTCCCCAATGACCTGCTGGCCCGCGGACGTGACTACATGGTGAGCGTGGCCGGCCGGACGCCCGCCCGCGGCTGGCCGTTAGAGGTCCCCTGTGGCGGCGACCACGACGGCTCTCTCTGTCTGAGTCTGTAGCCGCTGGGTGCGGCTGCAGCTATCTGCCCCGGTGCGCGTGGCCACTGTCGCAGGACAGCGCGGCTGTGGCTGTTCCAAGTTATCAGTACCTGCGGGGCTGCCCTGTTTCACAAACACCCGCATCTGTGCCGCCCTCCTCGGGCCGCTGCTGTGGCGCCTCCCTCGGGCCGCCGTTGTGCCGCCTTTCACGGGCCGCAGCTGCAGCACCTCCCCTTGTGTCGACAGCTGTACCAGTTTACGCAGCGGACGTTCGTGGGCCGTGCGGAGCTGGCTGAGCAGATCCGCCTGCCGGCCGAGGACGTGCTGGACCTGCTGCAGCAGGTGGCAGAGCTGATGCCAGGCCGCGGATGGAGGATGCGGCTGAAGCCGGACCCGCACCACGAGCGCAGGTCAGTGCGCCGCCGCCCGCGGCGTGCACCCCGCCGGTCACGAGGTCACCGCCGCCTCGGGCAGCTCGCCTCCGCCCGGGGCGCGCCCGCTGCCGGGCACAGGGTCACCGCCGCCTCGGGCAGCTCGCCTCCGCCCGGGGCGTGCACCCCGCCGGTCACGAGGTCACCGCCGCCTCGGGCAGCTCGCCTCCGCCCGGGGCGTGCACCCCGCCGGTCACGAGGTCACCGCCGCCTCGGGCAGCTCGCCTCCGCCCGGGGCGCGCCCGCTGCCGGGCACAGGGTCACCGCCGCCTCGGGCAGCGCCTGCTGTGTGCTGCGGCCGGCGCTTGCACACGTGGAAACGGCGGTGGGATCTGAGCCACGATTGGTGCTGTGAAACTGTACTTAGGCTGCGTGTACCGCGGTGCTAGCGCTAAAGGAGCAGCCGCGGGTGGGGGAAGTTAAACTTTGGCTGCCGCCGCAGCCTCTCATGGTGAGTCATGTCTTGGAGAGGGGCGTTTGGCTCACCAAGCTCTCCATAGCCCTGTTCTTCAGATGTGAAGACCGGCGTGGTGCCAGGCCGGGCAGCGCTGTGTCTGTGTCTGGTCGCTGTATCTCTGTGGCCGCTGTGTCTGTCTGTGGCTGCTGTGTCTGTCTGTGGCCGCTGTGCCTGTCTGTGGTCGCCGTGTCTGTCTGTGGCCGCTGTGTCTGTCTCTGGCCGCCGTGTCTGTCTGTGGCCGCTGTGTCTGTCTGTGACCGCTGCGTCTGTGTGCGACTGCTGCGTCTGTCTGTGGCCGCCGTGTCTGTCTGTGGCCGCTGTGTCTGTCTGTTGCCGCTCTGTCTGTCTGCGGCCGCTGAGGCTCGGCCTGACCCCGCCCCTCCGTCGCAGCTTCCCGGACGTGGTGCAGCGCCAGCAGATGCTCTGGGAGGCGAAGCACCAGCAGCTGATGAAGGCGTTCCGGGAGAGTGTGAGTCAGGTTCCCCCCACCGGCACTGCTGTCGCGGCTTAGGCGACGTAATGTCGGCTTCATAACCAGGCATTTCGTGGCTGTTGCGACTCGCTCACCGCTCGTTGCGTGGGTACAGCAGGTGTCTAAGATGCGCGGCATCCTAAACACCGGTCGAGTACATCGGGACGATGGATGCGTAGCTGACTCGCGTTTTCAAAACCCGCGGTGGTGGGGTTGAGTTGCCTTTCCAAATGTACGGGAACCTGATGTAGTGTTTTTCGCTTAACTGCGCGCACTTCCCTGACACACCGAACCCTGCTTCAGCTGTGCGTGACGCGTGTTCAGTATGGTAGCGTTCCGCTTCGTGCTCCCTTGGCTTGCTTCTGGACGCGATACACCTCATGTGCCCATCCAAGCCTGCACGGGCAAAGCCGTGTCTGTCGTCAAAGCTCTGCCGATACCCACCCAAGCCCCAGCTCCCCGCGTTATATTTGCTGGCTGTTGTAGTCCGTTTTGAGTTCAGCTGGGCGCCGCCCTGTGCTGACGCGGTGGGTGGTGTTGGCAGGGTCGGACCGAGGGCGCCGGGCCAGCCAAGCCGCGCCGCCGCCGCCAGCGCTCGCAGCGAGACTCCTTCAGCGCCTCGTCAGACAACGAGTCGAGCGGTGAGGCCGGCTCGCGCAAACAGAGGCGCAACTCGGGCGTGAAGGTGAAAACGGAGCCGGCCGAGGCCAAGAGCTAGCGGCGGCGCGGTGGGAGGAGTGGGAGGGAGGGGGGGGGGCCTGGGGTGGTCTGAGCTGACCGGAGCGGGGGGCGGGAGATCAGGAGCTGGCGAGAAGGGGTGGAAAATAGACGGAAGAAGTGAAGAAATGGACTATCGAATAAACTGAGATGCGGACACGTGAAGTGGTCATGCCGGACATGTCCGAGAGAACTGCGATCTGCCCAATGGGAGGCCTGAAGAGGAGGCCAACATCTGACGATGTGGCAGAGCGTGGGAGGTTGGAAACTGGCCCAAACCTGAGTACGGTCTGCCTGACCCGCTGGCGAGAGCTGATCCCACAGGCGTCTCCGGTAAGTCTGCACGGAGAGAGTGGCGACTCGAGCGTCTCCTAGTGTCCCGGCTGGTGACCCGTTTCTGAGTCTGGGATGTGGTCATCCGCTTCTGAGTAGGATGTGATGACCCGCCCCTGTGCCTGGGGTGTGGTGGCCAATTGCTGAGTCTGCGATGTGGTAACCCGCTTCTGAGTCTTGGGTGTGGTGACCCGCTCCGAGTCTGGGATGTGGTGACCCACTCCTCACTGGGATGTGTCGACCCGTTCCCGAGGCCGGCGGGTCGGTGCACCAGCGCAGCACCTCTGACACTGTGACCTCTCGGTGTCCCTCCGCGTCCATGGGCTGAGGGTCGGCGGCGGCAGGGTCGTGACCGAACAGGCCCCTGGGGCGGCGGCCGGCGCGGGGTAGGACTCACTCAGCGGGCGGCGAGGGGGGCTGACGGGGACCACGCCGGGAAGGACGCCGAACGCGAGGCGAGACCGCCAATGGTGTGGACCAGGACATGGGACACCTGCCGCTCCCGGTGCTCGGAGGCGAGGGCCGCCGCTCTGGTTGTGCAGTGTTCACGGGGACACCGCGTGCAGCAGGACCAGCTTGTGGAGACGAGACCATTTTGTTTGCATTCTTGCGGACGCCCACTGGGTGTGCTTGATATACTCGGAATTGATGACGCACATGTGTAATGGTAGATGCTTGTGGCGTACGCGTGTGGGCCAGGGGCTGTCAGTGCGCACCACCCGCCTCCTCCGTCTTCGCCCGCCGGTGAACACGCTGCTGTACAAACACGCTGTATTCTATGACTAGAAACACTCCCAGACGGCGGGGTGCGGCGAGTGGCCGAGCCGCGCTGCTGGAGCGGCCACCCCACCACGGGCCCGACCCCGGGCTTGACCCCGCACATGACCGGCGGCCACACGTCACACGTCACGTGACAGGCTGTGACGGAGCACGACAGAGCGGGCGACATGACGCGACAGATCGGCACTGACCGCGCGACACCTCCGAGACAGTTCACGACGGGTTGTGACAGATCATAACATACCAAAGCGTGTCACGTAGTGGGCTACGATGGGTCATGTAACAGTTCGTGACCCGCGGCAGACCACGCAGACCGGTGCTTGATCAGACCACCCAATTCTGCATTGCGGGCCCGTCCACAGAGCGCGGGCACGGGAATATACGACGCAACGTCGATTCGGTTCAGATCCACGATACGGCTGAGGTTCGGTTCGGATCCGGTTCGGATCCTGTTTGGGACGCGGGTGTTGTGGTGGGCTCTGCTGTCTCCACTCCTCGCTCTCTCCACTCTGCTCTCTCCACCCTTTGCTAACACAGAGGAACTCGTTACTGCTGAAATGCAACTAAACGGAATGGACACATTACGTACTGAGCACGTGAACAGGCTGCAGCGTGGCTTTTCGTTTCGGAGCGCTGGCTAGCAGAGCAAGCTCAAAGTTTGACAGAGGATAGCCCTGCCCCGCGATGGCACTGGGCCCAGCTATCCAGCTTCTCAACTGAGGAAGGCGGGTCACCGGGCGACATCGCTCGTGATGAGAGTTGTCACGTGGGTTGACTGGCGACGTGGCACATGATTGGTGGATTCGGACACCGTCGACGCCTGGTGGCTTGAGCTTCTGATTCAAGCCACCCGATTGGCCACGTTCGATGACATCGCCACGTGATTGGCCAGACTCGGCGTCATGTAGCGACAGGTGTGTCTGACCAGACCGGCCGACCCGACGAGTTGTCTGACGCAGCCTCAAACATGTGCGCGCCGTTTTGACGAAACCTCTCGGCACTTTTACAGGGCTCATTGCGCCGGGTCCTCGTCCCGGTCCCCCCCCCCTCCCTGACCCTTCCCACGCGCAGCCGGATCGGCGGGCCCTCGAGCCTGCGCATGACTCCTCTCCTCCGGCCGAGAAGCGTGGGCTGAGCCGAGCCGAGCCGAGCCAAGCCGAGCCAAGCCGAGCCGAGCCGAGCCGAGCCGAGCCGAGCCGAGCCGAGCCGAGCCGAGCCGAGCCGAGCCGAGCCGAGCCGAGCCGAGCCGAGCCGAGCCGAGCCGAGCCGAGCCGAGCCGAGCCGAGCCGAGCCGAGCCGAGCCGAGCCGGGCCGGGCCGAGCCGAGCTGGGCTGGGCCGGGCCGGGCCGGGCCGGTGCCTCGGTTAGTGTGGCAGGGCGTACCGCCGCTGACTCCACTGGCAGTATTATCTTTGGTATACACAAATGCACGGGCAACGCTACGACGACTCCCGCACTTCTAACGGGTGAGCATCAAGTAAGGTATTTGATCGGGAAAAGGAACAAACGGCTGAAACCCATTCCACGTTTGCCAACAAATATCGCACGACAAAGACCGCAACGCAGCATTTCTGGAAATTTGCATCTATCGACGGACAAAGAACAGTTATCCACGCAATAGCAGCCTGCCCATCCCAAACGCGAGAAAATGCGCCAGCCCGGCGGCGCAAGAGGCGTGTCTACAACTACCTGCGCAACATCACGGCGCGACCCGCGCGCAAAACGCGCCCGGAATATCAGTCTTAAATGCAACGACGCTCCAAACCCCGTGTCCCGAGATTCTGTCCCGAATACCCAGCAATATCACATCTAGTGCGGGTGAGAAGAACTCACCCACCACGCCCCCAGATCATCAGCACTCCGCTCCGTACCCACGGCTGTCACAATGCTACCAGATCACACAGGTTCCATCGCACCTACACTGTTCATTGCATTTTCTCCACGACCGCAAATTTATTTCGGCTTCTTCCTGGGGCTGGCGAAAGGCTGCCGTCCGGGCAGCCTCCACCATCCACAGTTATATCATTCAGAAGGCGCTCTTCACACGTAAGGCGCTCTTCACACGTACCCTCCGTGCTCTGTCGTCGGAAGGACGTTGAAGAGGACAGCGAACAGGGTGCAGGCGAGGTACACCCCCAGCGCCACCCACCACATCAGCTGCTCGTGCAGCTTCTGTGCGAAGTTTCTGAGGACGACCACGCCGAGCGACAGGCCCGCCACCGCGCCGGCCAGATGCGCAGCATAGCTTACGGCCGGATCCACGGATGGCACGACCGTGGCATAGCGGTGGTACACAGCGAATCCGACGTCGCAGCCCGCGATTAGCAACACGATTATCAGGCGCATGATGCCGAACTCCATGTGGTTGTAATTCTGAAAAGAACAGAATCAAGGTTAACAAATGCAGCCAGGCTAAAGGGCGCACCACTGAGGCGCCTTAACCTTTGTCCTCAAGGATATGGACTATGGACAAACTGGACTGTTTCCGCAACTGGGCTTTTGCCTGTGAAATCCGTATATCCTAAATAAACAAATAAACGGATATGCGGCCCACCTGTCATGCAGGCCTTGCATGAGGCGACAATGGCTAAAGTACGGTTACAGCTTCCGCCCTCCTGGTGTGAATACACACCATGCAGGAACGCTAACGTCGCACTTCACACTAAGACGGAATGAAGGCTTCGGTGGAAAACGAGCTTCGACGGACGTTTTCACGCCGGGACATACGTGAAAATTATTCACATGTGATTCGGAGGAAACTCATCCCATCCATTAACCCCCCCCCCCCCCTCCCCAAAACTCCCAGCAGCTCCTGTGGCATCAAGAGGCGCAAATTCGGTAGTTTCTTGCATCGTCTTACCAGCAGAACATTCGCGATGTGTGCAGTGAGGAGCGCGTAGACACCGCCGGAGGCGCCTACTAGGTACACCTGGCGGCTGGTGTCACAGACAGAAGTTCCGAGACTGCCCGCCAGGACACCGGCCAGGTAGACGGTGAGGACGCGGGCCGAGCCGTGCACCATCTCCAGCGGCAGGCCCACCACCAGCTGCACCAGGAGGTTGAAGATCAGGTGCCACCAGCTGCGGACAGGGCGAAATGCCAGATTCCAGCGCTCCACCGTTCCCAGCTGCGCATGGGGGTAGGGAGTGTCGCGCGCCTGCGGAGAGAACAGGCGATACACCAGACAGCACAGCGGTGAGCACGTCAGCGTGAGCCAGCCGTCATTGGCACTCAACAGCCCACGCCCAACGGAGTCGCCTCAAACATTAAACCCAGTGCCTTTCAATCGCCGACGCGCCTACGTTCGGCTGCAGGGAGGCGGCGGCCGTTTCGCCCGCTAGGACGCCGCGCGCCGTCATGGAGGTGACAGAGGTCCGCCACCAGCCGCCCTCCACGCGCGGACGGTCTTTCACTATCCACACCCGCACTCGGCCAGCATGGCACTAACCACGCTCCTGACACTGCTCGCTTTTAGGTTGCGTCATGCCGGACACCGCCCGCCCTCTGAGCACGTTATACCGGACACCGCCCGCCCTCTGAGCACGCTATGCCGTACACTGCCCGCCCTCCGAGTACGCCTTGCCGGACACCGCCCGCCCTCTGAGCACGCTGTGCCCGCTCTCAGCAAGCGCACCGCCTCTGTACCTACCCAGTCTCTGAGACAGTTCGGCGTCCCCCACTCCGGCGTGTGACAAAGATAAAGCGAAAGGGCCTCCAGGCTGCTACAACCCGCTTCGACCCCGGTGAGGCCGAACGAATGATAACAGCGTTGGCCTGTTCCACCATTGACGAGAGTGAGCCTTACTAACCGGCCGGTCCTTAAGCGCCTGCTGCCAGTGCTCGTCTGGCCTAATCCTAAGGGTACGGTCTGAAACACGTACGCCCACCCACAGACCCGGCGCCATGCTGCCTATTCCCCTCCCCCCACACGCTGCATACTGGCTTTGGAGGGGGCGGGGGGGGGGGGGCGGGGTGTATGCCCATCAACAACTGGACTACTCTCAAGGGCTGGGGCATCATCAGCATCCGCAGTGCATGCGAGGATGACGTAATGCCGTGTAGGAGTGATTATGGTGCCGTGAGATTTAGCTATAAAGCAACCAGGGCCGTTTAGATTACGATGAAGAACTAAGTGATCGGGAGCTTTGGAAATACTTTTTGATCAATGGCGCTTAACACAGTTATCTAAGATTTGGAGGCGAGAGGATCCGTACTGGATCTCTGAAGGATGCGCGCCCGCAACGTCCGTAGCTCTGCGAAACGCCCGTAACTCTGCGCAACGCCCGGGGCTCTGCGCAGCGCACGGCCAAAGGCTGCGCGCGGCGGTTGTGACCGGCCAGAAGCCGACGGAGCGCCAGTGCGGCCCGCCTGACGTGGCCGTGAGGTGAGGGCTCACCTTGCGTGCAGCACCATGTACGTGACGAACCTCCACAGCTGCCAGCGGCGATCGGGCCGGTACAGCAGCACCGAGTCGAGCGGCACCACCCCCATCGAGGTCAAGGGGGTGGCTGGGGTCAAGCGCGGGGTCGTGGCGCTCGTGGCACCACCGGCCGCCGTGTAGTAGATGAAGAAGCCGAGCTGCAACGGACAAAATCGACTCAGACACATTGGTTCGCTGAGGCACAGATTAGTAACCGACTACATAACATCCATGATAAAGCTCGCAAAAAACACACAGGTCATGGATGCTCTTTACCACATTCATCTCACGGCAGACAAACGGGGTATTGCTTAAGATGAAACAGCTTGTACCTCTTGAAGTTGAAGGGAAATGAACAAGCTTAACATTGCTGATAATTTTTATACACAGCCTAAAAGTTAACCTCATGTTCTGTGTTTTGTTCATGATCCATTTTCATGTTCAAATTGTCAGTGCCTGTGGGGTGCACGTACCATCTGCATACAAAAAGGCTACATTATGCGGTACTTCATAGCCGGAAATAGAAGAAATAAATATGAAGTCAGAGAATGTAGCCGATGTTTTATGAATAATGTGTGTGTGGTACCTTCTGGTGTATTGAAGGTTGGTTGCTGTCAACATAAACTCTCTAAGCCCAAAATGCCCAAACCAGGAGCTTACGGTCTTTCTTAATTCAATCCAACATTAAATTGTGTCTTCGTGTCCCAAAAGTAATCGGAAGCACGTTCAAATTTGCGGTAAGCTTTTCACTACAGCGTCAATTGACCCCCATGTTAATTTTAGAATCACTGGGATCGTTCTGTTTTAATATGTAGCATTGAGCATTCATTGCTTTGCTACGCCCCCCGGTTGCATGTATTACCGATGAATTCGGTTCATGGATGAATAAAAAAGCATAGTTCATTGCTTAAGTCTGTACTCAAAACGCAGGACTGATGATGGTGTTTTCTTTCTTCAGCATCAGCTTTTGCAAGCTGCGACGTGATGCATAGACGCAACTTAACTTAAGACCAACGCGGTATAGCGTGATGGTAAGTAAGGTCACCGCGGTCAAAATTCCAGGATGTCTGTTGTTTTGGTCAGAAATGTATTCGCTCTGGAGGGCTTCGCACTTTGTTCTACACTCTGGTGGGGGCAGTATGTGTCACCAACCGCGTCCACACCCCAAAGGTTCTAGTTGGGCTGATGCCGTTAGTTCTTGAGGACGACCCATCGCTGGAGACGGACTCTGAAACCGATGACTGCCATTCTGGTAATTGCCAAACTGATGACTGCCTCTCCCCGCCACTCCGAGGTCCCAATGCCTCGATGTTTGTTCACGCCGGCGGGTGAAGATAGTATACAGCTGTCGCGCGTAATATGGCATAGCATAATTGCAGTGACTTTCATGGCGAAGAGGTGTGATAGTTGAGAATGGACCGGCCGGTTAGACAGATAATTAAGGTTGGACCAACTGGGTCTTCATCTTTGCCACACCAAAGAAGAAAACCGGTTGACATATTTTGACTAAATCGAATTAGTCACGTAGTAGGCATATCGATCCTCCCCCCCCCCCCTCCCCCAAGACATCGCAAATATTTGCAACGAACAAAGAAGTTCCATCCTACAACTGGAAACTGGATAACTGGATATCTGGATAACTGGATAACGGTGACCTTTGCTTCCAGGATGACATTCTTCATTTCTTGAGCCGCAGCGACGGGTGTTAAGAAACAGGCCCCAAAACATTTCATACAACAAACGCCCTTCTCCCTTGGAGAGGCAGACTTCTGACGAGTGCTGCGGATAGCAGACAGCTCGGTCAGTGAGCAGTCCAAAGCTTTGTTCGCGTGACCAGTGCACTGCTATTGATTTGGCTGTTACGATCCACTGTGGTGCCAGTTTAGACTGCTATGTTTGGCGCGTGCCTTTAAAGCCCATGCTTTTTTGTAGTCCTCAGACTGCTTTGTGGAGCGGGCTTTTGAAGTCACAATAGGTTCAACAGGGGTGTTTCTGTTGCATGAGAACAAATGACGAGTAAACCGAGCCAAAAATAGTGCATGTCCTAGGGGCACATGGAGACTGGAAACAACATTACCGTTGCATGCCTAATTTGTGCGGCCATTATTAGCATGTGTAATTAATGGCTGCAATGTCGTTTCGATAGCTCGTTTGGCTACGGCATGTGCCTTCCGATCCACCAGCACGTGGCGAGGTGGCTCCGAGTCGTTTATGCGCTCTCTGTTTGCCACTGGATGGAACGGCCTGCGTTCGGCGGCACGGGTCGCGCTACAGGTCAGGTGACGTCAGAGGGCGGGACGACCTGTGCCGAGCACTGCAGCGCGTTGAGCGTTCGACGCCAAATTCCGCCGTTGATCTGAAATTTCGCGGCCGGATGGCGGCGTCAGTGCTCACGTAGCCGTCACTGCCTTGAGTGGGGTCTGAGCACAGATATGGATATCCATTCAAAAGGATCGGACAAAAGACATTTGGAAAGCGGTCCTATACATTGGGAGCGTCATAGCCGTGGCCATCAAATAATCCCAAAGAAAGGTGGCTTTGCGTGATGCTGAATTTTCCCCGGTTTTGTGAGATGTCTGAAAATAGAAAATTGTGGGCCAAAACCAGCTTGGGGAGGGGGAAATCACCCATGGGCGGGCCAGGGCCCTCACAAAGCATTACAAACTGATACGCTGCTAGTGCGGTCAAGCCCGTTCCCAGCTCGGGGCATAAGCGCCGGGTTTTCCGCCATGCCGCCAGCGTCAGCCTGTTCGCAGAGGCGAAGTGGATGCTTCGAGTCCATTCGATAGCCAATCATTTTCGTCTTAAATTGGGCGCACCGCAAACGGCTGGAGCGTCTCCAAGGCTCCCTGACCGAAGGCCAGAGTCGGCCCGCTCGAGTCACGACTCTCCGACGCGTTCGCTGGCCACAGTAGGGCCAGGCCAGCATTGCTAAGCTGGGCGGCACGGAACGCCCTCGATAGACGGCTTGGTGAGATGGCAAACGGGGTGGAAGGCCTTGGGCCACATTTAATTGTTCTTACCAAATCCTTTTGCGTGACAAACTGAGGCAAAAATTAAGGAGAGAGCCCATCTCCTGCCAGGAGTCAGCCGTGACTTTTGCAACACCTCAGTCACCACCGGCAGATCCGCGTGCATTGTCTAATATCGTCACGGAGCAGGCTTGGAGATGGCGACGGTTGAGGTGACTACGACGTTACCCTCCTGAGAAAGCGTGTTGTGTTGTTGTGATGCGCTGCGTTGTGTTGGCGTTCGCAGAATTTCGGTGTCACACCTTACACTAGCGTCACCAGTATAGCCAACAGGTATTGCATATCAGTTTGTCCTGGCCAGCGTCGTGCACTATGAGCAGCCAACTGGCTGGGCGCGGCATCCAGCCGCTACTGACGTCACACCACATGTGACGTCATGCATCTGTGACGTCACATGCCCAGTCGCCTACACCACCCGTCATCGGGGGGCATTAGAATGCATGGGTAACCGGAGCCGGGGCGGCCGCCTCATAACCCCGCCGCCTCATGCCGGACGGCGCGCCAATTTGGGGCGCGCAGTTTTTTGGGCGCGCCCGCCCACGTGGCGGCGCCGGCACCTTTTGTTGACCGAACACAATGCAACAACTGGGGCGGTCGGCGGCGTCACCGACGGCGGCGGCTGCGGTGAGCGCGGCGGCCGGAGCGCGCCACCGGACAGCGCTGCCGGGAGGGCGTCTCACTCAGCGGCGGCCCCCAGCGCCGCCGGTGCGCACCGGCGCTGAGGGAGGTGGCGGGGTGGTGTGGCCATGGCCGCCACCCGGTCACCCGATACAACCGTTGCCTCCAAATTAGACTGGGATTTGGCGGCAGCCCAGACGTGAAATCGAAAACCGAAAACAAGGCACGTACATAAAGCAGACGAGATATTTCTGAAACAGGAAGCGGCGGGTGAACACGAACAGACAAAAACATCTGATCCGCATTCTTCACCCCGGAGAGCTTGGTCGAGCCACAACTCAAACACGCTTAAGTTGCCGCTCATCGGGGCGTGGGAGCCGAAGCTGCAGCGGCAGCGCCCACGCTCTTCGCTCTGGGACGCGCCCTGAAGGGCCGAGCGGCGGCCAGGGGCGGCACCGCGCTAGCGGCGCTGACACGCTCAAATCACAACACAGTTATGCAGATGGGATCGCATTGAAAACAGCTGAACAATGTTTGGCGAACAATGGCGACCGACGGCCGGGGACGCGGCGACGCAGCCAAACACGACCGCCCTCAATAACAACAGCCCAGACCGGCCCGCAGCTCGGGGCACGTCCAGCTCGGGGTCACGTCCAGCTCGGGGTCACGTCCAGCTCAGGGTCACGTCCAGTTCCGGATCACGTCCAGCTCGGGGTCACGTCCAGCTCGGGAGCACGTCCAGGTCGTGAGTACGTCCAGGTCGGGGTCACGTCCCGCTTAGGGTTACGTCCAGGTGGGGATCATGTTCAGGTCGGGGTCACGTCCAGCTTAGGGTCACGTCCAGGTCGGGATCATGTCCAGGTCGCGGTCACGCCCAGTTTGGAGTCACATCCAGCTTGGGATCACGTCCAGGTCAAGATCACGTCCAGGTCGGGGTCACGTCCGGCTTGGGGTCACAGCCAGGTCGGGGTCACGTCCAGCTCGGGTCGGCCAAGGCCCGCGCTCCCCATTGCAAAACCCCGTCCCCGAGTTGCAACTTGCGACGTCAAAGATAAGTTCGCTACAACAGTTGCTATCCTTAGGAGTACAGCTTCTTGCATGTGACGTGGCACTTGTGACGTTATAGGTAGCAGCTTAAGGTAATTTGCCAATGGAAAACTATTTCCGGTGCCGAGCTGGCTGTCAATCGCTCAGGAGTCACGTGGGGAATGGTGCGGAGCTGAGGCTTGGAATAGAGTTGTCAAGCATCATGGATTAAAGATAGATGCGTGGAAGCTGAGGGGTGGTGTTCCGTGGCAAGGAACCAAAATACTGGCATGTTCTTGCCCATCCGAGCGTGTGGGTGTTTCACTGCCGCCTCATAAATTAACTTCTAAACGACCGAGGGCTACGGACGCATGGAACATATTGGCAGTTGCATATGCGATGTGATTCAGCGTGTAATCACATATTTACAGTGTTAAGTAGCGCTTGGTGCACCTTTTGAGCACGAAAGTATTAAGATCCTT